GAGCAGAATAGGCTGATGTACTGAAACAAACTGCTGAGGGGAGCAGCTGGTGAAACAGGAGAGGTCTGCTGAGCCATGTGGGTCAGCTCCCTGGCCGGGGATTTGAACTCATGCTGCTGCGTCTGTGGACAGCTGCTTAGAGCTGCGACTTAACCCCTTGTACCACGAGGGAGGCCCCTTCTTTGTTCTTACTCTTCCTCTTCTGTTTGGGTTGGTTCTGTAGTCAACATTCAAGGGTTCTTTTTTTTTTTGTTTTTGTTTTTATTTTTTATACTTTTTACATCGTTGTTCAGCTTCCCTAGGTGCAGTCCCCATAAAATTCCCACCACCAATATACCAGTGAACTGTCACCGTAGTCTCTTATGCTTTCCCTCCCATTTTGACCCTGCTTACTTTTCCTCCCCAGCTCAATGTCTATGATTTAGTTTGCCTGCTAGTTGGGTCTTTTTTTCCCTGACTTCGTTTATTTTCCCTGTGTTGATCCCATAAGTGAAGCTGTCCGCTAACTTTTTTTAGTTCTGACTTATTTTACCGTGTACAATCCCTTCCAGCTTCCTTCATGTTGCTGCAAGTGGCATGAATGTCTTTTGATTGCTGGGTAGTGTTCCACTGTGTATATGTACCACATCTTGATCCACTCATCTGTTTGGGGGCACTTTGGTTGTTTCCATAATTAGGCTATAGTAAATAGTACTGATTTGCTGGCTTTTTAAAGAAAAGTCTCTATATGTAATTATTTGTTGGACTTTGTACCTGTAGTTTTAATGAGTTTTCAGCTGGTAATACTGGGTGAATATCTTTTTTTTTTTTTTTTGTTAAGATTTATTTACGCATAGAAGAACTGGGATATAGCCCAGGGATGGGGGAGAAGGAGGTGGGAAGAACAGAGGACAGAGGAAGGAACAGAATACGTGGATTGACTGAGATACACTGCTGAGGGGAGCAGTGGGAGAGACAGGAGAGATTTGCAGCGCATTGTGTGTCACCTCCCTGGCCAGGGATGGAACTCAGGCCCCAGTAGCTGCGGAAAGCTTCACAGAGCTGAGACCTAACCCCTTGCACAACCAGGAAGGCCCTGGCTTAATACCTTTCCATACACCCATGTTAGAGGAACTAAGTATCTTCTCAAGCTGCTGGCTTCTCAAAGCATTTTTTTATTTATCTTGTACACTGGGTTGTCCTGGGCATTTCTCAGATGTAGCTTTTCTGCAGAGTTTGTCAGCATATCACTATCAGAATTATGTCCAAGTGTTACACGGAGGTTTCAGAGTATTCTGAAGTGCCCTTTATCAAAAGATGATCTTTGTAGGCATTTTAAAACCTACTTGATGTTTCTTCTGCTTGTGTTTCTCCCCTCCCTGCTTGTGTCCATTTCTTCTGTAATTCCTTAGTGCATCTCTTGGATGTGGAACTCACATCTCTTAAGTGTGAGCTCCTCTTCTCCTTACCCCTTTCCTCAAGAGTCTAGAATAATTCCTCTGACTTGGTTCTCTCAAATTTTACTGCCTGTCTTTGTACTTTAGAATTTCATACAAATTTGGAAAAAAAAAATCCTGATCCTATTGGTCTTCTTGAGTTGGCATTGCTGTTCATTTTATTTGGAATTAAAACTAGACACTCAAGTTTTGTTTTCTGCTCTGATTCCATAGAATGAAGTCCTTTCAGAATACAAAATCTTCCCACTTATTCACTGATGTTAAAGGATTTTTTTTTTCTTTAAAGATCAGCAGGATCACACTGCTCAAATCTTTTAATTCCAAATGAAGAAGAAAGTGGCAAGTTTCCACTTTTTGTGTGAGCCCCGGGGAAGTTCAGTGCCTTGCTAAGCATTTGTTGTTAGCCACCCAGTAAGCAAGCACCAGTGGGTGTTTTAGGTATTTATTGTGGGGTTGTAAATTGCTCCCTGGAATCCCCAGCTGGGCCAAGCAAATTGTTCTTCCACGGTCGCTGTGACAGTTGGAAGTTGCTGGGTGGACCATGCTGTCCCTTATCTAAGTGAGAAACCACCGCTATTGCCTCGCTTACTTGGTGACCCTGGGTGCGAGTGAGGCTACGCAGAGGCTGTCATCTCTGCCAGAGCCTGCCTTTCCTGCCTGCTGTCCGGTTTGGAGGCCATCTTTGTGGGCACTGGTGCAGAGTACCCCTGACCTGCATTGCGGGTTGACCTTCATGGACTGTGGAAGTGTGGGCTGGCCGGTCTCTCCTTTCCTCAGTGTCCCCTCTCATGTGTCCCAACATCCTCCCCTGTTCGCCAACCCTTAGAAATGTTTTTATTTCAGTGGAATTTGGGGATTTGGGGGAACCTCTCTTATCTTGAAATGAGTCCCTCTGCTACAGATGAACATCTGATTATTGTCACATAGTGGAGAAGGAATGCAAGCTATTTCACCATGCTAACCCAATTTTCTCCCCTCCCAACCCATGCGCCTTTCAAATAAAGATCTTTGTTTTCAATCATGCACACCCAAAGCACACAATTCTGAGTGATTTCAAGGAAAGCAGAGTTGGGGGATGGGTTTCTGATGTGATCATCAGTGGTTCTTGATCCAGGGGATAAAACCACCTGAAAACAGCCTCAGCCCCCAAAAGCAAATGCACAGATAACCTGTGTGTGTGTGTGTGTGTGTGTGTGTGTGCGCGCGCGCGCACGCATGCGCCAAGTCCTAGAATGTAGTAATTAAATGTTTCATCCCCAAAGGCAAAACACTAAGTAACTCGGCTCCACCACCTGCCCTTTCCTGCAAGCCCTCAAATCATAAACAGGTGGGCAAAGCATACCCAGCATGGTTTGAGAGGCCAGAAAAGGGAGGTGAATTGACTGTTGAGAACCTTGAACCCAAATCTCACCCATGTACTGTATATAGCCTATGAATAACGTGGAAGCTCCATCACAAACATCGCCCAGGTGATGTCTTAAAAAATTGGCCAGTATGCCAAGGTCAAGGTCGTATCAGGAAATGTTTGGAGGGATGCAGGTGGGAGACATGTCCCCCTTATACTCATGTGTGGAAAACAGCTAATTAATTGCCCATACAGGGAGAGTGGGATGACAGGTCTCACACATGCCGCTAAAATGAACCCTGAGAGTGGTAACCAGCTTTGCAGTGATCCTATTTGAAAATAAACCATGTGTTCAAAAGGAAGAACCTAGGGATGTGGGAAGCGATGAGGAGGAGGGGAAATAAGAAATACTTCACATACTATTTAGTTCTCCGTTGTCTTTGACGTTGTGTATTACCATGGGGTAAGATGGTAGAAGGGGGGGAATGAAATAGTTGAAGGAAAGTTTCCTTAGGATTTCTGATACAACAAAGATGTTTGAAGGTCAATTTTATTTTTGTGCAGAAATCACACGTAGTCCAGAGGTATGAGGAGGGTGTAAGAGGATTCACCAGAGACAGGAGCAAAACAGGCTGATCTACTGAAATACATTGCTGAGGGGGTTTTGAACTTTGGGTATTTTAACAATGAATTTCAGGTATTCCTTGTAAGCTGAGTTAATCCTGCTTGTAAAAAAACAAAAGTAAGACTACCTGGGAAATTTAACCCTGGGTATTTGATGTTAAAAGATATTCTGTAGGGCCCTCCCCGGCGGCACAATGGATTAAAGCACAGTAAGTACTATGAAGTTGTTGAAGCCACTACAGAACTTCAATTTCTGCCCAGGGAGGTGACCCACATAGCACAGCAGACCTTTCCTGTCTAGCCTGCTGCTCCCCTCCGCAGTGTATTTCAGTACATCTTCCTGTCTCCTCCCCACTGTGTCTCTATTCTGCTCCCCATTGTCTCTGGTGAATCCTCTCATCTCTACCCTCCATCTCTGGCCTGCACCCCAGTTCTTATCTAGATAGATAAAAGTATTTTGTAGGCTATGAGTATGCAGTGCTTGTTTTTTTTTTTTTGATTCATTTATTTATGCATATAAGAACTTGGGTGCAGGCCAAAGGGGTGTGTGTGTGTGTGTGGTGGGGGAGAAGGGTAAGATTCAACAGAGACAGATTGGGGAACAGAACAGGCAGATTGATGAAGTACACTGCTGAGGGGACCAGCAGGGGAGACAGATGAGATCTGCTGTGTGCCCTGTGGGTCAGCTCCCTGGCCAGCCATCTAATTGGTGCTGCTTGCTGTGGTGGCTGCCATTCAGCTTCACAGTGCTGGGACTTAACCCCTTATGCCACCAGGAAGGCCCTGCAGTACTTATGTTTTAAAAAGGCTTGGCAGACCTCTCCTGTCTCCCCCTCCCCCCAGGAGTATATTTTAGTTGATCTGCCCATTATGTTCCCCATTCTCTGGTGAATCCTCTCATCACCCACACCCTATACCCCAGTTCTTGTATGCATAAACAAACATTTGCCAAAAAAAAAGTTTATGTAAAGAATTGCTGTAATAGCTGGGGTTTGTGTCCAAGTAATGGATAGGAATAGAGATGAAATAGGGTTGCTTACCTACTGACAGTTTTGTAAGCTGTTTACTGTGGGGATCACTCTATGGTTCTGTACCTGCAGCTGTTTGCCAATTTTGAAATACTCCTGAAAAATATAGAGGAAATGATTTTGACTTCGAATGTGCTTAGTCACTGAAAGGGCTATTATGATTCATCTGTGCTGATTTTGGTCCCAAGTTGGGAGAGGTGAATCCTTAGGGCCTCTGGCTGATTGTCTTTAAAAATACTAGCTGTGCATTTCAGTGGAGGAACCAGTGTTTGGAAGTAGGACTAGTTTGATACTACAGGTCACTTTAGCTATACAGAAAAAAAAGATGCAGAATGTAGTGTTTGCTTTTAATTATTAATTCATTTTGCAGGCATCTGTGACTTTCTGAATATGGACTGTCTTGAGGTGCGTTGTATGCATGGCCGTGTGTGTGTGTACACACACATACATGTATATATGTGTGTATATATATGTGTGTATATATATGTGTGTATATATATATATATGCCTTTATACAGTTTCAGGAGAATCTGATTCCCAACACACAGAGATGTAAGAGACATGACATACGGTTTAATAAGTTCTTGCTGTTTTAATGAAGAAACTGATCAACTCTTTCACAGTGCGGAAACATGGACAGCGGGTGTCAATATAAATAAGAATTCAGAATTGTTCGGTCTCAAAGCAACTTTTCATGGCTTTAGAAATGAAAGTTGAGTCACCATTCTATTAATCTCTGAACCCCCAAGCCATGCAAAATCTATTTGTATTAAATATCTGGGATGCAAATAATACAGAGGAAATAAAACAGATGTCTGGTGAATGTGAAAACGTCATCAGAACTTGTACAGCAAGAAACTACTGTTAATTCGTTCCCAAAGAGAATAGTGGTGAAAACACAGACAGTGCCCAATTTATTGATTTGTTTAAAGTCACATTTCAATTGTCATTTTTCTTTCTCTACAGATATACAGACACATATTGTAACATGGACTCAAAAGTCTGAACGATTACAATATTAAAATAAATCAACTTTAACTATAAAGGGACATCTTCACATTCCAGGATACATCTTTGATATTTTTAAAGAACAAAATTTCTATGCCGTATATTCTTGCTTTTTGTTTATACTGTCAGACATTACAATTACCTTGGAAAATACTATATAAAATTGAGTTGCCACAGCAAGCTGGATATGAGCCCTAGAGAACTGTGACAAAGCAATGACAGAATTTAAGGAAACATTGACTTCTTTTAATAAGTAAAAAGTACTGAAATTGAGACCAGCTCCTTAAAAATTATTAAACTGCTTATCACACTTCCCATTTCTTTCAGGGAAATAAACAAATTAGCAACACTTTCCCCACCATCGTTAATCTGCTCTAAAACAACTACTTTTTACAATGCGTTTTTCTTTAAAACCTCTTGTCTCTAAGCTCTTCCAAACAATGTTACTCACTGGAAACATTTTACAATGCCTAGAAAGTTCCTGGCTCCTCTATTACCACATGAAACTTGTAAGACCTACTTCAAAATTTAAGAGGCAATGTATTTTAATAAAACGGCAAATCAAATGTGCTTTCTGAAAACCCAGTTGACAAGACAGTGAAGTAATGTAATGTAAAATGAATGTAGTCAGGTGTATGCATTACGAAATACCAGAAACCGGTCATACTAAAATTGTTTTTAGCTAGAAACAGAGATGCACACCCTGGTCCTCAAGAGCAGAGGCGCCTCACCAAACAGGCATCATCCAGTTGGCATCCTGTTACTTCCAAGTCCAGCGCCTGTGCATACCAATCCTACTTGGGAGATCCTTTTGAAAAGGTAACTTTGAAAGCTGACTGACTTCTTGTTCAAACTGGCCAGAGGCAAGAAATAGTCTATATATGGGGCCTAGTTCAATAAACCACGTGTCAAATAATGGTGCTTATTAAAAAAAAAAACTGAGCACAGCCTATGTTGACATCTGAAACTTGTGTATAACCAGAAATGAACATACAAAACTTGCCTAAAATCAATCTCTGGTGTCTCATACCCTGCCCTCTACATCTACCCAACAGACTGGTTTCTCATTTTTCCCGGCAGGTGAAAACAATGATTTATATATATCACCAAAGGACTGGAACCATGCATCTACTGTATGATAACAGCTTAGTAACCTGGATGTATGTTCATGCAATAGTTTGAAAGTCTTCTATATGGTTTGATTAAAGCATCATACTGTTTTCATACATGCTACTTTCATTCCTTACTGAGAACTGCCAAGTTAATTGCTGCCACTTCAGCATATCACTAAGAATACTGGTAAACCTTTAGCTAGAACACCAAGCAGTATATATATTTCCCCCTAATTGTTACTTAATACCAAGTGGGGTTGACCATCACTAAAGAGATATGAAACCACACAAAGGCAAGGGCATATTACAGAACAGCAAGGCTGACAGACTGTTACTGGAGAATGACAGATACCAGTGCTACAAAAGCCTGTAAAGAATTGTTTTCAGGTCAACGCTGTGAAGCCTGTCTGCTTTCTGGCCATTGTTTTCACAGTTTTGCCACAGTTGTTGTATGAGAGATGTTTTATCAGTGTAATTACAGAGCCACGCTTTGTGAGACTAGTGGATATAGTTGAGGGAATTTTCCACATAGGGAAAAAGTTTTCAAAGCTGTAGGTAGTGGGTGAAATGATGGCTTTGATGGACAACTATGGTGAGTGTTATGCCTTTGGTTTCCTTATGCTACGAAATGTGCAGCTCGTTTCCCAGGTCTGCCAGAGACCACGGCTATGTAGAATACGTCAGCATACAGCGCGGCTCGCCGTGGGTGTGAAGGTGTGTATGTTTTTGAGGGCAGGGGTCACCTGGTGCTGGAGAGGAGTTCTTCCTAAAGTAGAACCTCAGGTGAAACCCTTTAGCATTGGAAAACCTACCACTTTCACTGCTGTCTGCATCTGCCCAAAGGAGGGGAAGATTCCCCAGTCCAATTCAGAGCCGGGGCGGAAATGTGCTGTTTTTCAGTGGCGCACCCTAGTGAGTCAGATCATTTTACGCATAGTCGGTTTTTCACACCCTGAAGTTCTGGTTTCCTAAATAAGGAGTGCTTTACTACATCACCTAAGCTACCTGAATGAACTCAATGTTCTCTCTGAACACAGTATGTTACCTTCAAAAACTTCTTAACATCAAAGCCCTCTGTATTCATCTTCCTCTGAATCATAGTTGTTGACTAGACGCCTCTTCTGACATAACGCAGTGTGTGACTGCATGCCAGGGCCAGCTATAATGTCCCTCACACTGCTTTATTAACATGTGCAAATAAGTCTACGTTGAACAGCTAATGTTGATTTTTCTTCTAGCTGAAATGGGATTATGGCACAAAGTATTATCTGTGCTGTAAACATTAATTTGTCACAAAATTGAAAGGAGGGGGGGAAAGACCCAAGTGACTGCAAACATGTCCTACAGAACTACAGCTGAGCTCAAGACTTCAAGTGACTTTGGGGCTGGACTTGAACTTGGCATACATTCATTGTGCTATGGGCAAAGCAGTTTCATGAGAAGGTCATTTATAAAATAATACTCGGTCAGGACTTTTTTATTTTTAAAACCAATGGCCGAATAAAAGCATGCAGTAACTTAAAGAAAACTACTAGGTGGCATAATTAGGTCTTAGTTACCAGTGTTGATACAGCCTGATGAACCATTGTACAAGCAAAAGGAATCTTATCACCTTTGATTGTACTTTCAAACAAAGGGCATAATGCCTAATTCCTGACTGCTAGAAATCACATTTTATAAGATTTTGTTTATGTGTTTGAAATTACCCCTGAAAGAAGCAGCAGTTACAAATACCCTTATTATTCTGCTGAAGGAAAATCATATTCCGGTGCTTCTTCCTGTCCTTCTCTTCAACAGGAAACACAGGAGGAAGCACGGGGAGCCTGGGTTTTCCAGAGGGCTGCGCCCAAGTAAGTGCGCTCTGGAAATTCACAGTTTGTCTGCCGAAACTGTAACATGTCACACCTTGAGTAAAAGTTCTAGTTTATAAAATAAGGGCTACTCAGCAGTAACTTTAACAATTGGGGTCCCACAGAAGAGCTCTTAACTTCTCTGGGTACATTCTTTCAGGAATGAATCCTTTCCCAGTTTCAAGTATCCCTTTCTATCACTCACTTGGCAATGAGTAAAGAAAGGGGGAAAAAAAACCCCTCTTCATTTTCCCTTGAGTGGACACAAGCACTACAGTGTCACTTCTCCCCCCAGGCATCTGAAATGAAAAGGCTGGGCAGATGCACAGGCTCCCGAAGTTTCCTTTTCTTCTAGTGGGTGTTCAAACGTTCACTCTCAACCTGGTTCAGGCTCTTGTGAGTTCAAGTGTACCGTGGCATTTCACACTGCTCACAGCGATTTAGTGCTGGGTGGTTCAGGAAGGTGCAACTGTCACAGTTCCATGGAGCCCCTTCGTAGTCCTCGTCTCGGGGTTGTGTCCGAGGACTCTGTTTGCAGCCAGTTAGATGCTCTGATGGAAGTTAAGATGAAAGAGAAAACAGGAAAAAGACTCAATATTTTTCAACTGGCACCTTCTTCCCAACTCTCTCCCCTGCCCAAAAAACAACAGGGGGGAAGCTTATCCCTACTTCACCCCAATGCAAGTCAATTATTTAACAGCTACTGGAAATGCAAAACTGAACTTGTAGGTTATGCTGTATATTCTACTTTTCAGTAGATAATATACAGTTGTTTTTTTTTTTAACTATAATTCTTCCAGCATAGATTACCTTGCTTGTTCGCAATAGTGGAGAGCTAGATTTTTCCAGCCAAAAGCAAATGCTGATAGGGAGGAAGCATAAATTCACATGCTATAGAGCCTAATTTTGCTCTGACGAGTTTAGCCATACACCCAACCCCATTCTGTCTCCACGTGTGCTGCTTCCCATGGTTCACTACACATCTGATTAAAAATGTGCCTTCTGTGAGGTTTCCAATCTACGCAGGAGTGAAATAATGCTTCATAATGGCAGTGACAGTTCACAGCCAAGTTTTCCTCTGAATGATAAAAGATAAATTAGCCTTCCATCACGCTAAAACTTACTCTGATTCTTTCCTACCTTATTGGCATGAAAACATCCAGTAGGAATTGGTTTTAACATATGCCTATACTTGGAAATAGAAAATGCTGGCTACCTCACCTTGGTCTATGGGATTAAGAAAATCTTGAATCTTTTTTTCTGAGGTCCTCATTCTATTTGACCTTGTGCTCAAAAGGATTCTTTGCATTAAGGGTTGATTTGTAAACACTGCCTTTTAAGAGCAGTCCCTATTGAAAAGTGGGATCAGTGACAACAGAAGTCTAAAGATCTGAGATGGAATTTGCCCTGGAATCTGAAGCAAGAGCTAAAGGCTGGGGAAATCTACCTGTAAATACTGGGAATCCTCACAGTGAACTGAAAACAAGATTGAGATCTAAGGTAAGAAAGCAGGTAACACCAGAAAGGGAGATCTGAGTTTTAATCAGTTACTATTTGGGGCTGTTTATCTCCACGGGAAATTAGTGAACTGACTAGGCTTTATCAATTTGTCTTTGACTGCCACAGCTTCTTGAAGCTGTTCCTAGGATTAGAAAAAAGGCTCATTTTGTTTTTGTTTCACTGGCCTCACCTGTGACTTTTCTGACATTTTTCTGACAACTTACAGCTTCTGATTCAAGACTTTAAAACAAATGCATGAGCACAGTTTTGGTTTTTTTCTCATGTGGAGGTATAAATTAAAAGCATGTTGTTGAAGCAGTGTATTAGAAGAAAAAAGCCTTTCACCTCTCCTATATGGCACCTTAAAAAAAAAAAAAACTTTGCCTTATTTGGATGGGTTTTAATGGGCTATTAAAAACTCCCTTTTCCAGAGAGTAAGAAAAGTCAAGTTGTTAACCTAAGGGTTTGCTGCTTACTACAGTCTTTCTACACCAGTTTCAAACAAAACCTTCCATTTAAATTGTGGGAGTACAAACACTTACCATATAAAGTTTTTTAAATTCCTCTTTCTAAATGAAAAACTGCAAGTCCTCTTTGAACCAACTAATTCAGGACACCTGGGGACGTCACTGTTTAAAAACTCTTTCCACATGCTTGAGTTTTGAGCTGAGATCACCTCAGTAATGCAGCAGAAATTCAATGGCAATGTATATTTCTTACTGTGTAGATGGGAGAGACTGAAAAACTCAGTAAAACTTAAAGGTGGTATCCTGGGCCATTTGATTAAATGTAACCCTCAACTAAAGCCAAAGGTGTTAGGAGTCATCAGGCTGAGCACAGCCAACCGGGCCCCTGCTGCTCTAAAGACAGGCCAACTTTGGGGTTTTCAGAGCACCTCCTGTGTCTGAGTAATCCTTCAGAGGCATATATTGGAGTGCTAATTTTCTGCCACCGATCAGTATGATAGCAACTTAATTTGAATAATTAATCTTCTTTCAGGATCAAAAATAAAGGATACAACTAAAATTTTCAAGGGTTCCAAAAGTTCTAACCACTTTGTTTCAAACAGTCTTATAGATTTTTCCAATAAGGGGAAATATGTTCACGGGAGAAAAGTTGTTTTAAAACTGACTGAGAATGTATCTTTTTTTTCCTCAAGATTTGTTTATGGGCCCTTGCTGGTGGTACAGCTCTGCAAGCTAGCCGCAGCTGCTTCAGTGAGGGTTGATCCCTGGAGCTGACCCACATGGCACAGCAGACCTCTCCTGACTCACCCGCTGCTCCCCTCAGCAGTGTACTTTGTCAGTCTGCCTGCTCTGCTCCCCACTGTCTCTGGATGAATCCTCTCACCCCCACACCTCTAGCTTGTACCCTAGTTCTGTATGCATAAATAAATTTAAAAACGATTTATTTGTGCATCCAAGAACAGGGGGTAGGCCAGAGGTACGGAGGGTGAGAGGATTCACCATACAGAGTGGGGGGCAGAACAGGCGAGACAGGAGAGGTCTGCTGTGCCATGTGGGTGAGGTCCCTGGTCGGCAATTGAACTCGTGCTGCAGCGTGACAGCATTGAGACCTGAATCCGTGCACCACCAGGGAGGCCCCAATAAAACATGGTGGAAAGATCCCAAACTAACAAAAAACCAAGTTACATGATATTCAATTCCACATTAAGGAGAGTTTAAGGATTCTATAGAATACTTACAGGAACTCAAACTGAAGCCCAGGATACAGTTCAAGAAGTATTAGAGAACTTCAGTGAGAAGTTTTAAGAATGAGCTCTCTGGCCTTGCTTTCTAGACACCATTACCTTAGAGGTGATCTGTGTAGTGCGGTGGTCCCTGAGCACTGGATACATGGCCAGTGCTTTGAACTGAGCTGCTAAAAGTGCAAAAGATATTACTGACACCTTTATATTGATCTAAAGTTGAAATACCTTGTACATTAATTTCACTTAAGTATGGCTACTAGGAAATTTTCCTGTCGTAGACAGGAAAGCTTTAGAAACTCAGTAAGTTGGGCTTTCTCATTCTACATGGTTAATGCAAGTCTTTGGACATTTTGCACAAACCCCAGAAGCGCAAGTACAAACCATCCGCAGCTGCTGCCTGAGTGTCATGGACGTCTGCCTGTACTTTGGAGGTCACGCTAATTCTTCGGGCTTTCCGTTCAACCGTACAGGGGTCTGACGAATCTGCATGAGAAGTGAAGGCAGGAGTTAAGGATTCAAGCCCTTCATTAGCAAGCATGGACAGGCTCAGGAGCATTTCTCACGGTATGTGCACAGTTGAATGTTTCTTTTCTATCACTTCATGTCATCTCAGTTCCCCTGTGAGGGCAGGTGCTGTACTTAATTCTGCTTCTACAAGCTGTACAGAGCAGTGGTTTATGCAAGTGTTTCGTTCCACCTTCAGTGATTTGGAACAAATGCTTTTTATTTCATCAGTTTGCTACAGTGGCTTAGGGGTACAAAGTGACAGCAAAATCTGGGAGAATGTACTTTTAGCAAGCCCCCCAATTAAGCAATAGTAGAAAATCATGGGCTGACAGTACACTGTCCATCTAAGGTTAGCCAAAGAAAACCTACTATGACAAGAATGATTAAACGACCGTATTTTAGCACTAAAAGGCAAGGAGAGTAGTACTTTCAAAATTCAAACCCAACTGTAAGTAATACTTTGTACTGACAACACCTGCTCCCCAATCATTTCATCAATATCAGTTACCGACAAGTGCCAAAGTGGAGTAGGCATCCCACTTTCTTGCGAGACTGTGTTATCAGAAGTCACATCCTTTTCCTGTTATTTGTTTGCCTTTTAGAAAACGCCAGGTCGTCCTTTAGTTGTTATCAGCCCTGGGTGCAAGCCCTGCTCTCTCCCCATATGTGCAGTCTACCAAACAGCAACCTCTGATCTCCGCTCCAGGGTGCTGCTCTCAAAGGAAGAACCACACGCCTGTGAAACAGACCTCACCACTGCTACGACACTGGGTATGTGCGCTCCTGGCAGCTGATCCATCACGTTACTGCAAGAATTTCTTTGTATGTTTTCAGGGTAAAATTTACATAATACAAAAAGCCTAAGTATACCAGTTGGTAGTTCTGACAAATACTTACCCTGGGTCATCTAAATCCTGACAGAGTTAAAACATTACCATCAGTCCCAGTTCATCCCCAACATCAATTCCCAGAGACAACCACTATTCTGATTTTACCCCCATGCTTCTGTTCTAGAAAATAAATGGCACTGGTTTATTTATTTTTTGGTATTTTTTCATTCGGCATATTGTTGCTGAATAGTATTCCGTGGTGTGAGTATATAACACAGACTATACAGTCACATATTAAAAACACCCTGGTGATTATGAACAAAATGCTATGAATGCAATGCCTTAGATTATGTTGCATGAATCTTTGGAAGTAGAATGGGCCATAGGTTGGCTGGAAAAAAGAATGGCTGGACTGTTTTCCAGAGCGGTCATCAATGTATAAGAATTCTGATTGCTCTGTATTTTCACTCACATTTCATTTCATTTTAGTGGAATTTTAGCCATTTTGGTGGGTGTAAGGCTGCATCTCAAGGTTTTAATTTGCACTGCTTTTCCTAATTCAAACTGAGTGTGTTTATGTGCTTACTAGTTACTTACTCCTTTGTGAAATCTTGTCAAATGTTAGTTTTGTTGAATATAGTCTGGATACTTTTGTGTTATGTCCGATGGTTGAAAAAACTTTCTACCTTGATTTCACGAGCAATCAGTTGGCAGCATGAGGGTCTACATTCTATGCTTTTTCTATTCCAATGATCCTATTTTATTCCTGTCCTAGTACCACATTATGATTACCAGCTTTAGGTGGTTACAGATATTCTAAATAGTTTGCCTGTCTATATGATGTCAGTATCACCTTACGAGAGTCTATGCTAATGAGGTGGCTCATGGTAAACATACTGAACACCATTTTTCATCAACGTGGTCCTTTGATCCCAGGTGAACAAATTTTCAGTGCTCTTCCTTAAGTAGAGCAACTCCTCTGTGATAGCTCCTGAAGTCATCAAATCTGGTACTGGACAATCACTCATTAAGATTCCCATTTTTGGACACCACTAGGCTATTTTAAATACAAATATCCATGCCAGTGTTAAAAGAACAAATGATTTACTGTGTTGCCACCTATAAATGAAAATACTTCAAACACTGATGAAATTTTTAAATGCCATACCTAATTGAGGCATTTTCCCTTACTGTATCTTAGTTGACCACGGCAAGAAAGACTACGATGTGACAGGAATACTTCTTTTTTTTTTTAGTTCAGTCTTGAAAGTACTTAAATCTTGACTTCTTGAATTTAGTTTTCTTTTTTGTAAGAGAAAGAAGTTTATTTTTTTTCAAGAACTGTTAAATATTGAAATGCTAATTAAAACATTTGGTACATAAGAGTAGGTATGCTATGTTTAATGTTATTGCTATGTATCAAATGTCCCAAAAGGATCCCTCCCAAATGTTGGTGGAATAGGATTTATTTTGTCCTTGATTAAAAAACACCTGATCCTTATCTAATTGTTATGCTCACCTTTGAGAACGAAAGGATTTCTTTGTGGTCTGTCAGTTGAAGCTTAGATCTGTTAGAGATCAAATGTTCCACTAAGACAAGAATTCTATCTTTGACAACTATTTTGTTTTCACAGTGCTGAGACTATTTCACTTCAATTTCTTTTGGTTGAACATCACCAAGAAGGCAGTAAGGGGATATTCCTTGCTTTGCTCCAAGAACACCACACTGTGGAGGGGTCCCACCACACAGCAGGAGGGTGAGGGTGAAGCACTGTAGAGACTCCAAGGCGATCGGCAAGTAGATGTAAGGTGAGTGGAAAGAAACACAGCAGTCTGGGTAGGGACACATGCAATGAGGCTGCCTGCCGGCCCCAGGATGCAGGGGAAGGAAGGGCAGATGGTATGGAGGTGCTCCATCACGGGCTAGGACCCCCACAAGGACAGGCCTACAGAGAAAGGGCTCCAGATGAACACTCCCCAGTACTCCACCTCTATTACCACTGTGCAGTATAGTAACCGAGGTAGACTGCTGAGCCTCAGGTCTGGGACCTCAGAGAAGGCAGGCCAGCAGTCCCTAAACATGGCCTCTCCTAGCAGGATGGCAAAGGAGAAAGAGCAGGGAACAGAGAAATAGGTGAAACCTGGAGAAGGAATGGGAAAAACTGAACATGCAAGTCCATAAGCTAACAGATCCCCAGTTACCTAAATGCAAGGAGGCCTATAGCCAATAGCCTACTACTCATTGATGAACAAGTGAAAGCCTCGCCTGGAAGATCAAGAACAAAACAAGGATGTCCACTCTGCACTATTCACGACAGTGTAGAAACTGCTAGCAAGAGAAGAGTATGTGGGAACATCCAAACTGGATAGGAAGAATAAAACTATGTATGTCATCTGTACAAGGCGACAAAATCCCAGAGACTCCACTAGAAAAGTAAGAGTAGAGGGCTACCCTATCTTCAAAATTATGTTGCCTTCTTACATGCAAATAAGAGATTGGTGAACAAAGAAACAATCCCACTTACAGTATCGGATCAGAAAAAATTAAATACCTTAGAAAAAATTAACAAGATGAAAGACCTTTGACATAGATAACTGTAACTTTGTTGGAATAGAAGACGCACAGAGATGGAACGATGGAGAGACTCTGTCAAAGATTAGAATAATACATCCACAAAATGGCTATTACCTAAAGTTATGTACACATCAAGTACAACCCCTATCAAAATCCCAAGGGCATGCTTTAGAAATAAAAACAAACATGGAATTTCCAACTACAGATAAAACAAAAAGTGGAGAGATCTCCCTTCCCAACATCAAGCTACTATAAAGCTATATAGTAACTAAAACAGCAGGAGACACAAGATCAGTGCAACAGATCTGAGAATTCAAATATAAAGCCATATATACATATATTGACAATTCACACAACAAAGGAGCCAAGGAACGTCTTCAGTAAACAGTACTGAGAAAACTGGATAGCCACCTGAAAAGAATGACACTAAGCCACTGGACCACCATACATGAAACTGAATATAAAGTAGATTAAGGATTTGGACATACGTGTTGAAACCATAGTGATATACTCGTTCATGCTGGACCCAGGTCTGGGACCTCAGAAAGACCGACAGTGCCTTTATCCGAAAAGACAGCAACCTACAGAGTTTGTCTTCAAACTCATTGTAAAGATGAGTGTGGGGACTCATCTCTAATGGCTAGGAGATCAAAGCGAAAAAATACATGGAGCTCCATCACAATAAAAAAGCATTTGCAGTCAAGGAAACTTGTCAAAATGAAGACATCATACTGCACGGGAGAAGACCCATGCACATCCTAAGTCCAACAAAACTCTGCAATAGACAAATGATCTGATTCAAAAAATGGCCACAGGATCCGAACAGACACTTCTTCCAACGACATATAGATGGCCGTCATCAAAACTACAAGAGAGTGTTCTGTTCTGTTCCCCACTGTTTCTGATGAATCCTCTCACTGCCTACAACTCTGGCCTGTACCCATAAATTAATCTTTAAAAAAAAATGCCCCACAACCCAGTCATCCCACTACAGGCAATTTACCCCAAAAAACACAACTTCCAAAACATGTAAGCACCACCATTTTTCCTGAAGCAGGATACACAATGGCCAAGAGCTAGGAACTGCCTAGGTGACTGGATAAAGGAGATGTCGGCTATATATACAATGGATCACGACTCAGCTGTTACCAAAAAAAAAAGAAAAAAAATGACTTGGCTGGAGCTAGAGCATATGATATTAGAGAAAAACAAACCCCGAAGAATTCACTCAGAAAGGAAACACACAGATGAACTAAAACTAAAAATTTTAAACCTTTTCTTCACCTCCAATTACTACTTACCACAAGAAAAAGGGGTAAGAGTTAATATAGGGTGAGGGCCAGAATTGGACTTGGAGTGGTGAACTTGAGGTAGTATATACACATGTTGATTTTCAGGGATGCACAGCACAAATTTGTTGCAAGGCAATGTTACTTCAACTATCTTTGGCAATAATTGTACGAGTCTAGGGAACCTGTCCTTATCACAGCAGTGACATCAATAGGTTATTTTCTTTGTACTGAGTAAGTTAATTGACCAAGGGGAATTTCTTCTGTGATAAATATGTAAAACATCCAAAGAATACTGATGTTTGGCATTTTCCTACTCACCTTTTTTAGATGGCTTGGGTGGTACAACTGGGCCAGGTTCTATGTTGTCATAAAAATTATTCATTGCTTTTGGATCAAAGTTTCCTATAAAAATAAAATCACCAGACATTTAGAGCTCTTGTTCTGTTAACAAGAAAAGATAGCAACCTACACAGCATTTGTCTAGGAATAGTTTATTAACAATGCCTAGTAGGACTAGCTTTACATTAAGGATGTGGTACATTTAGGGAGGTAAATGGAGAAATGAAAGGATGGCTGCAGTTTTTCGCGTTTTGATTTTAATGAACCAACTATGAGAAAGTATAGAGGAGATGGTGCCAATTTCAGAGTTCCTGAAAAGTTTTGTCCCTTTCACAAAATTTTCACCTCTCCAGCTGTTTACTCCCTGGTGTGAGCTCTTAATTATGTGTTTAGTTTGTAGAAGTGGCAATCAGCTCGTTCTGCACAATTGCAAGCAAGCTTTGTAACTGTTTTCATGCTTATTTACAGAGGATGCTACCTCGTACTGACAGTTGACACAGACTGAGTGAACATCTACTTCCTCATTTGATTTTTTCCCTCCTCAAAACAACTTTCCTAGCCCAAAACAATAAAGCTATTTTTAAATTAAACTATGTAGTGACTTGCATCCTATCTCAGTGTTCCCCAAAACATCTAGCTTCTGTTCTCTGGCCTGTTACTATAGTTTTTCCAAACCGTGAAAAGGTACAATTCCATATAAAATATATTTGGATTCCAGGGGCTCTCCCTGGTGGCACAACGGGTTAAAGCACTGCATTATGAAGCTCTCAGAAGCCACTGCAGCATGAGTTCGACCCCCCACCAGGGAGCTGAACCACATACCACAGCAGACCTCTCCTGACATGCCGGCTGCTCCCCTCAGCAGTGTATTTCAGTAGATCTGCCTTTTCTGCTCCCCACTCTGTCTCTAGGGAAACCTCTCACCCACCACACCTCTGGCCTGTACTCCAGTTCTGTAAGCATAAATAAATACATCTTTAAATATATTTGGATTCCTTGTGCAAAAAGGTTCAGAAATGCTTAAATTAGCACCAAAAAGAAAACTTTGCTGGCCAGTAGAGACCAAAAGCCAGGTCTTTGCTTATAAACCTTAATCATGGCTTAAGATCCTATTACAAATGCTTTTTATCCATTTGGATGTAGTATTTTAAAGTATTTTTCTGAAAAGTCCTATGATGGCTCATGAAAGCTGCAATGCTATTTTGATAAATTGGATTTTTTTCTGCTTTAAGAAATACTATGTATTTCTTCAATTCCTAAGTCACAGCTGATGTTCCAATTTCTATATCCCATAAGGTTTACTATAAATATCCTAACCAAATGCTTCAATGTGTTTTACTTCAAAGAACATACAAACAAAAAAATGCTACACTATTCCAATATAGTAGCAACAGTTTATATAAAACCCACGTTACATGTAATGATTCTTTCACTGCTTAAAGCTAGTAAGGCTGTAGCCTGAGTCTTCTGGGGGAAAAAAAAAAACCTTTAAGGGTACCTTATTAGAGTCTTCAGTTTCCACATTCAAATTTGCTTCTATTGTTCAGATAGTTTTATGACTCCCCACCCCTTTGATCTTGCCTAAAAATGGCAGTGTGTACTTAATATACACGTTTAAAATACGGTAGAAGCTCTCTTAGCTGCTACAATTAAGAATAGGTAAAAAGTGGAAGGCTGGGGGTGGGAGCAGCTGATTAAGCCACAGAACTGCTAAGAAAAAAAACAAGTCTACTTTAGTGTAACAAATCCTATAAAAAGCAATATCTTAGTGTTGGACCAACACCTTTCCTTTACATGTCTGTTGACTAAAAGTCCTATATTCTTTCTCACACAATGACTACTTGCTCTGAGACCGACAATAAACATTTTAAGTTATATGGAGCTGCAATACAGGCTCTGTTGCAAGCCGTCAATGGTGCTGCTGAAGCACAGAAGCAGCCCCAGCCAAAATGTAAACAGATGGGCGTGGCTAGGTTCTACACACACTGGGAGCAGGGGAGTAGGCTGAACCCTGATCTACAGTTTCCTGTTTTGGTTTCTTTAGGATGAATCAAGAAAGATACTTTTAGAATATTTACAAAACAATATGAAGACAGATTACTCTCAGTTTTTATGGTTTGCCCCATATCTAATTCATAGTCCCTGGTTTGTGACTTGCCTTTGAGTCTTTTAAGAAGCATTTGCCTTTGGTTTTTACAGAGAGAGTAGCTTGTACCTTTCACGTCAGTTTAAGAAACATTAAATTACAACAGTATAGTAACTGGCATAAGGAGGTTTGGGAACAGGCACAACTTAACTCTTGGCAAGCAGACAACAGAACCGCTAGGAGCAATAGAACAGACAGACGTGGGGAATGCAAGCCTCCGAGTCGGGTGGGCAGTGGGCTGACCAGTGTATTTCACAGAGGACATCTCTAACCTGGTGAACTAGGTACATGAAAGTCAGTTAAGAGAGCTTCTACTGTAGTACAATTCTATAAGAAATCCAAGCCCTCCCTCCCACCAAAGTCTAATATGGTTGCTTTTGTGTTAAAAAAAAAAAGGGCATATTAAATTTGTTTTAAAAACCGAGAAATCTGGTATTTGGGGATCACTTTTTATACATACTTTTGAGGACTATCCCATATGCATGTACTAAGTTTTAGAATGAAAACCCATCAAGTTACAAAATAGTCACAAATGATTTAAAAAGGAAAAATGTATGATAACAGCATTCTAAATAATAAGTTAATGACAAAACTGCCACAGTATAACTACTTTTGAGCCCCCAAATTAAATCTATGACCATGGGATAGGAAGATGGCTTTACCAGGATTATAACCTTATAGTGGATAAAAGCTTCTCTTAAATCCTTACAGCCAAAATGATTGCTATTTAAGCATCTCACAAACATCACACTATTATTTATGGCTTACCAAATAATCAAGTCTATACCTCTAGATTGAAGGAGGTCAACTTCTTTCAGTGTACAGTCAACATTTATCTGGAGTTGTCTGTTCATGCTTCTCAATCTTGTCATTTCCTCAGGCTAGTAAAAAAGCACCCAAAATAACAAATGTGGAAAAGTCATTATCAAGCCCAACATTTAAGGGGGAAAAAAAGTCATTATCAAGCTCAACATTAAAGTCATTATCAAGCCCAACATTTCATCTCATATTAATTGTTCTGACTGGATTTTACCAAGAATATGGCCTTAGTGCATAAGAGGGCATGTTTAATAAGTCCTATATATAAGCTTTAAAAGGAACAGCCAGATAAACATATGTGGCCATTACTGATGCCCCTAAACAAAGTCTGCACATAACATGGCAGGCTACAATATTAAACTATGGTCTGTCATATAATGTACAACCATTTTTACAATAGAGTATTGAAAAGATTTTATCTGTTTTTACGATAAGGGAAACTACGAAACAACCTTTTAACAAGCAATGTCCATGATTTTGGTTTTGTCAAGACTGATAAAAATGACTAATTTAGCCCATTAAGTATGAGGCACTGTGTTCACCAAAACTCTCATTCTTCCCTGAAAACCGTCTTTCAAGGTAAGTACCACTATCACCTCCTATTTACAGAGGAAGCTGGGGCACATAAACAGGTTTTATAATTCCCCCATGTTATAAGAACTAGTAATTGTCAGAGCCAGGATTTATATAGAAACCGTTTTCTTTTAGACCAAAGTAAGCAATCTAGTCATGAAGAATTTCAGGCACCAATAGACTCCATTCTTTTTCCCAACCTTTTTTCTTCCATATCAGCCTTTCCTGCACAGTCTACTCTTAGGCCTTTCAGGACCATGAACAAGACACATATGAAAAACACCCTACCCATCAGTTAAATACAGCTTTTTGGAAGCCTTTACTTCTCATGTTCTAGATTTCTTTACATCTATCTATATCTCAAACAGTAAAAAAAAAAAAAAGAAAGAAAGAAAGAAAGAAAAAGAAAAAAATCAGGGTTTAGACTCTAGAAGCATGGCTTTTGAAGCTTTCAGAATAGCACAAGTATTCACTCAGTTACTATGGTGACTTCAACTATATAAAGTAAATGATAAATCTCTGCAGTGGTGAGACAGAATAAAATCCTATTAAAAACATGTATTTTGTTAAGAACTAAATATGTTAACATTAGAGAAGAAAAATGAGCAAAATGGCTGATCTGGATTTATAATGATGCAAGATCTTATGCTGTTAGGACGCATTGTCAGAATAACTGGGAGTGCCAACTTAAATAATCAGGTATCAAAAGCTTAAAGTAAGTGATAGACCAGGCAGAATTCATTAAAAGCTACAATCCTTAGAATGCTAGCAGCACACACAGGTCACTTAAGTTTTGCTTTTCTTTTCTTATACCCTAAGGGCAAACCATGTGACATTAATATGCAACAGTATCACATTATCACAGTATCACCCCTGAATATCTACAGTAAAATAATTGGCTATCTTCCTGTGAGTATGTTGAAGGACCTGTTCTTTTCTTTGTAGATTCATATCACGAAAGTCAAATAAACTGAAGGAGCTGATCCTTCCTATGGGGGTGGGGAAGTGTGGAGGGGTTCATGTTTCAGCCATGGTGGTCCTAAATAATAAAGCTCTGTAAATAAGTATGGAAATGCTCACTTCCAAAGACCATAGAACTATCTCAACTCACTAAATTGTTTGTTTTCAGTGTCCTTTTTCATAGCTTTTTAGCTGTTTCTGAAAAGTAACTATATGTCAAAAAGAGTATACCGTATTTTCATGATAGAGGGGTTTAAAAATTGGCTGCCTGGAATTTAGAGTTGTTTCTATATTAGAATGCTTATATCTGACATTTCAAAGTGAAAAATTACTAAGGTGTTTTTCTACCTTTTGAAAGCCTTAGGTAAACTGTTCAGCACTTTAAGAAGCTGTCTCAGAGAGACCACCATCAAAGACCACTGATGTTCTTTGGGGGCCTGGTCCCAATTAGGCTTCTGGGATTCAAAGCTGTGGGTTAATCCAAAAATCCAGAAGATGAATGGGGAAAATAAGTGTGTGTGTGTGGGGGGGGGAGGGAATACTTGCAGCTTTTTGCTTATTAAAATCTTATTTATCCTTTATAATGTAACTCAGATTTCTGTTCCTCCATGATACTATCTTTGAAGCCCAAGAATAAAAAGTGGACATTTCCATCTCAGAACGCTAGAGGCATTTAATATTACCATTTAGCTGACTAGTGCCTATTTTACTACCTTGCATTCTTTCTCTCATGCAATTATACAGAAGTTTGTAGACAGACATGCCATCGTTTCACAAACCAGTCTGAGGTGACATCTTCCACAGCATTGAGTACAATGCTTTGCAAATAGTACATTAAGAAAAATGATCTGTCGTGCATTTGCATCTCTGGGCTCTCCCTAGGACACTTTTGTCACTGCCCCTTTATCTTTCTACAAGTGCACATAGAGCTGCTCACAAATGTGCATTCTAGCCTCATTAGGCACATGCATTTCTAAACAATTTTTGATACACTTTCATAAGAACTTATTTGAAAACTTGAAGGCAGAATTATGTGCTTGATAGGAAAAAGGTCAGTTCTCCACTGCATAGTGCTGCATGAGTGGAGCAGTACTCACCACCTACTCCACATCAGGCACTTTACATACAATGCCGGCTCTTGTCTTGATAGCACTAGAATATAATTGCAATACTTTCCTCTTATAGACAGGGAAAATTTAAGCAGAGAAGTTACATAGCCAGAAAGTGCTGGGGCTGCCATCCCACCTCCAGAGTCTATGTGGACACTTTTCCCTTGTCATGGTGCATCAAATGAGCCTCTTGAACAAAAAGGGAACTCTGCCTGAATGCTTTAATTCTTGATTAGTTTCCTAAACAATATGCCCTTACCCTTACGCATGTCCTTACAATGAAATCAAAACTCTGAAAAAATGCTTTCAGATTTGTGTATATCTGTTATCCATTATGTTGTGACCGATATTTATAACAGCTACTCTTTGAGCATTGTATAAATTTTAACGTGTACATCTTATTTAACCCTAATAAATACCCACTAAGTGGATAGTCACACACTGTAAAGAAAACAGAGAAAGCTACTTATCCAAGGAACTAGGAGTGGCATATGTGTAGCAGAACTAGGATTCAAATTTACACTTAAATTGAAAGGCGACTGTCTTAGCTGTGATGTACAAGTTGTCCCTTGGTTGTATGCCCCTAACTGTTATCCATTTTACTCTAGATCTGGCAGTAGAAACAAATGGGATTCACACCTTCAGATTTCTCATCTCACATTTTCATAAACATGAAGTTCATTATGGGTGATGGCTACCTGGGGGTTCACTATATTTTTTCCCCATTTTTATATATCTTTGAAATTATCTAAAAGTTAAAAATAAATTACAGCCTAAGGCAAGAGCTTTATAAATCTTTTTCTAAAGAAGTCTCATCAATAAAGGCACTCATCTAAAATCTAGTGTTTTGTTTTTTTTTGGAGACACTAACCTATCAGATCTCTATTACAAAAAAAAAAATCAATAGGAACTATCACAGCAAGAGGTTGCTAAGCAAAGCTTATATGGTTGTGTTAGATAAAGTGACTTTGATGCGAAGAAAATTTGTTCTACAAGTATTGAAAGAACTCCAAAGTCCAGCCATAGATGGATGGTTTCCTTAAGGGCTATGTTCTTTTAATAGCTTCCTCAATGCAATCCCCAATCAGGATTCAATTAAGATTTTAAGTTGAGGGGGGAAAGTAAGTTGGAATTAGATTTACATTAATATTATTGCTTTTTTAAAATATAACTCTGTAGTTTCCACGCATTTTAATTAAAACCATCCCTTCTAGTATTAGAAAAACCATCATTATTATTAAATTTGCTTGTTTTTCAATCTTCTCAAAAAATGTCCACTGGTTCCCCATTATCAGCAGGATAAAGTGTAAACGATTCATCTAGCATTCAAAGCTTTGTCCCACTCTACCTCACATATTAACCTGTTAATACACCAGATCTCAGTTGAAGTGAGAAAACTAATTGCTGCCTCCTGGTAGTCAATCTCCATTTGACTCCAAGCTTTTGTTCTCATGTGTTCTTTTCTGAAGTGCCTTCTACTCTCCTCTGCTTAAATAATAGTACTCTACCAATTAGGATAGTGGTGTGCACTGTTTTATCCTTCAACTGAATCTTAAGAAAACCAGATGAAAGCTAGAGGCCCACTTCCCAAACAAACACCTGTGAAATTCTACATATTAACTTCAGTTTCACAGATCTCCTCTGAGATGATGAACCTCAGTTAAAAAATTCCCTGAAAGCACAGCTGCAGACATGCTGATTATAAAAGACCTAATGCCTGCCCACTTCTCTAAAGCTATAAATTCAGAAAATGCATGTTATTCAGAAAGGATAGGATAATGAGGACTTGCTCTGTGGAATAAGTAAAGGTTAAGTGAGCCCTGAAGCACAAACAGGATCTATACACACAGTTTCAGAAGGGTATTACAGCAGAAGCATAAAGTGAGAAGGGCAGAGAAGGCCACTGAACTGTTTAGAAACCAGATGGGGTATAAGTTTTCTTGTTACCCATAAGCCAACACAGCACACACCATACGCTTTATAGTTACCTATTGATGGACCTATTTCTCCTACCAGCAAGAATGGATTAAACACCTAGCATAGAACAACCCTCATAGACTACCCCCCAAAAAAATGCTTACTGTAGGAATGATGAATGAATGAATGTAGAAAAGTGAAGTGGCATACTGGATCACAGAAAGCTTGCGATGTGTCAAGATATTAGGCATGTTTGAAAATTTTCAGAATTGTTTGAGATCTTGAACACTCAAATTATGAAAAACATGTTGAGAACATTTATCTGCCATCTTTTCATTAGCTCAACTCCTTGAGGACTGCCATCCATGTTATCTTGGTTTCTACAATTATTTATACTGGACAAAATGGCTCTTCCCTAAAATAGTCTAGTCAGTACTTTTCCAAAATTCGTATTGAGCTCATTCTAACTCATTTTAATATACTTGCAAGTATATATTCTTCAAAAAATTATTTTCTAAGAATAAATGAATACAGGAGAACAATTATTTGGTCAATGTGCACTTTTCACGTCTATTCTGACAATTTATAAGAAAGATGAAATACCTTGATTACCACTGTCCATATTTAAGACACTGATGAGCTTATGGAATGCACAGATGTGAGAACAACAAAGCGTCAAATTATCTTAATACTGAAAGCAAAAGACTATCGTCCATGGCTTTAAAAAACAAACTGTTAGGAACAGAACTGAAAGGAAAACCAATGAACTGACAGCGGCTCCCCCACCTTCTTACCCAACATTGCAGCAGCCACTTACCGTGGGGATCGCGGTGGTGCAGCTAACCCTCCGGAGCCTTCTCTGCATCAAGTCATGCTCCATCCCGTTCACTTCTGCCTTCAGTCGTTCTAGCTCCTCTTTCTCAAGTTTCAGTTGCTTAGCTAACCTCTCCATCCTTGCGCGCTGATGTAACAGCAAGGCTATGGCAGTATAGATAAAGTTATTGTAGAGAATAGCATCAAACAACTGAGGGACATTTCCAAATACGTTGTTAATGTATACAATACTTGTAAATAAAGACACTGTCATCCAATTTCAGTTAGGATTTACTGTTTCTCATACTTTCCTGCCTCCATGTCTGCTTTAATTTAGTTCTTGGAGCTGCTACCAAAATGACATTGTCTATACATTCCTCTTGTTCTGTTGTCCTTAGCTCCCTAGATTGTCTTTATCCTTGGTTTTAAGCAGGCTCAATATCAAACACTGAGTTACTATTATTCCCTTATACACTAAAAAAATGCTAAATTTTCAAGTGGCTTGAAACACTCTGAATAGACTTTAAAAGCTCTATGCTCCTTTAGTTAGCTATGCCATTAACTACGCCAACAATACTCATTACTAATCCCACTTCTTATGAATATGTATTACTTATAAAAATCATCACACTTTTAGGCCATCCTTTTTAAAAAAAAAAATTCAAATTCTGGCCCTCCCTGGTATCACAACAGGTTACAGCGCAGCACTGCAAGTGAGCTGCAGCCACTTCAGTGCAAGTTCGATCCCCGCCCCAGAGCTGATCCACATGGCGTGGCAGACCTCTCCTGACCCGCCCACTGCTCCCCTCAGCAGTGTACTTCATCAGTCGGCCTGTTCTGCTCCCCACTCTATCTCTGGTGAATCCTCTCACTGCCCCTGCACCCCTGGCCTGTACTCCAGTCCTGTAAAATCTTTTTAAAAATTCAAATTCTTTCACCCTGATGAACTTTTAGTCCATCTACTTTCCAATTCTGTATTTTTGACAATATTGACTTGTGTATATTTTCTCTCAATGAATGTTCTTCCTGAAAAAAATGTCTGATTAGCTCACTATTATGACTACATTTTCATATTTTAAAACAAAGCTTATAGATGTCTGAAGCACTAACGCTATTCCTAGTAACATTGTTAGGTCAAAAATATGATTAAAACTAAGCTGTTAATGTTATTTTATTTAGAATAGGCAACAGCTGTCTCACTACAAAGATTAAATTTCATAAAAGGTCTAAAATTACCTTGTGTATATGCATAGTCGTCTGATCCAGAACTAGAACTCCTCTGATATTTATGGCTTCCCTTTTCTCCCCCAGAACCTGGTATTACTGAAATGGGCTGAATAGGTTCTGGGGCTGCGGAACGCTCTTCTTGGTCCACTAAATTTAAAAGATTTTCAGTCGCTGCTCGGCCTACAGTAATTTTAAAAACTGTAGTTGGGTTTGGTATCACCCGAGGAGATGGTGATGGAACACATGAAGGTCCAGTAGGCTGTGTATATGTAATGTACACAGGATTAACACTAAACGGAGGTTTCGGCTGACCGGATATCCCTCTTGAAGGAGAACTTGAAGGTGGTGTGGTGGCTGTGTACAATGAGTGCTGATTCCGTGGAGACGGCTGATTACTAATAGGTGAAGGACTTCTATTAATTGTTGACCCAGGTCGTTGAGAGGGTTCAACTGTAATTTCTATCTTCTTCATGGATCCTTTGGGCAAGCTTGATGTATATGGGAGATAGGCTACTGAGTGGCTTCCCTGCTTCTGATAGCTCGGAGGTCCTTGTTGATATGGATGGGGTGGAGTAGTTGATGGACTTGGTGGCATAAAGACATGGGAACTTGGGTGGCCCAACTGGGAAGGCTGTACTTGATGCTGTGGAGAGCTAAATGGTGAAGGACATTGAGAAGGAGGTGGTGAATGGTAAGCAGGCTGAGGGATCTGCTGTTGTTTAGGAGAATACTGAGAAGGTTGATAGTTCTGTTGATGTGGATAAACAGGTAAAGGACGCTGGCTATAATGAGGCACTGGCCCCTGTGGTGAGGACTGCCATGGCGTAGTCTGAGGAGATTGTCTTCCTGATGAACTCCGAGATGTCTGTCTAATATACATAGAACCAGGAGACCCATACAGATTGCTTGGAATTTGTGGAAGAATTTGTAAAGCTCTTGGTACAGTCTGTCCAGAAGGAAGGTTTTGGGATACTGTAACAGTAATTGGATTTGTACTATACCGAGGTATGTGCATGTATGAAGGAGGTGGTGGCGGCGGCGGTGAAGGCCCTTGCATAGCAGTTGGATTCATTCCTGTTTGCATGGAAGATGGCTGAGGTGGCTGTGAAGGAGGGGTGGCCGCACTTCTAGTCTGTTCATTCACAAAAAATGGATTATAGTTGGGAGTAGCAGCCACGACAGCTGGGGCTGAGTGTGGTTCCTGAACTAAGCATATCAGCTGTTTACCTGCTGCATGCTGTGGATCAATATGTCCATCACTTGAACTATGTACCAGTGTTCGACCACCATTGAGTTGTGCTGCATCTCCTGGGTGGAAGCTACTAGGAGAATGGATACCCAGATTAATATGTAAAAGGCGATTTCTATTCATCCTGTTGTCATCTGGACTATGGTATTCCATATACAAGTATTTGCTACTTTCCTGGGAAAGGGCTCGGCAGCAGGCTTCAAGATTATTGTTATTCTACAACAGAAAAATAGTAAAACAAACATTGGCAAAAATTAACAAATTTTAGATAATGCAAGTCAAGCTTTACTGCAAGTCATACAAATACAGCGGTCATAGAGTAAGTTGACGACAGTATTTAAAGCACAAAAGTATCATGGTTATCTACACTAAAAATGAAATCCTAGACAGTTGTTCTACAAAAATCAGTTCACACGGCTAGTATTGGCACTATTGCTAGCACTACAAAATGCAAAATACCTACTAACAAACACTGTGACTCAACCTCACATTTCTAACTCCAAATTCAGGACTCATTTTTTACTTGTTGCATCTTAACAAATTAAAATGTTGAATTAATATTCAATTTACCAAACTGCTGAAATATACAAGAATAACTAATATCCTTCACTAATATTAAAACTGATAAACAAACATGAAAATAACAGTGCTTTCGCTTTCAGAAGACACTAAAACCAAAAAGGAGGGGAAAATTATAAAATTTCTGAGTCAAAAGAAAATTCTAAAGCTGCCTTTATTTTTAACCAATTTTGTCACTATATAACTTCAATCATCTATATCATTACAAAAGATTTTAGCTAATGAAAACTATCAGTAAAAAAGGAAGTCTACATTTTGAACTATAGTTTCATGACATTGCCAAAATTATGGTAATTTAACAAAAAGAAAGGTCATGACCGTTGTAATGAAATGCATTCACACTCCTGGTTTCAAAAGTTTGTATGCTCTAAAAAGCTGTTCTCAAAATTATTTAAGAATTTTAATTTTGTGAGCTATACTCACACAAAGATAGTAATAGCAAATTGACACTTCAGATGTTCTAATAAAAGTTTCTTCTATTTTAAGTTTTAAGTTAAAACAGTTTTTCGTTGAGATACAGAATGTGGAACCTTTTTTATTAGCCCACAACATCATTATCCATTGTCTTTGAAATATTCTATAAAAGTTCTTCAATTACCATAACATTCTCTGTAGCTTCTATACATACATACATACAAAAGAATACATACATACATGTTATCATAAGTTTATTTTAGGGAAAAGCCCATTTTTAAATAAAAATGAAAAAGAAGGATTTCACTTTTTTTGAGACCCAAATAAGGTGAAGCCTACAACTGGGCATACAGTGCTACAAGTGTAATGCTAGAATGCTCTGGGTTCATCTATTCCGAACTCAACTCACTCACAGATGAGTAAAGAAATGCCTGGTGAACTACATGGCTTAACAACAGGCACTTCACTAATTGGAGAGCTAGTTCTAGATTCTTGGTTTCCTGAGTTGCTCTGCTCTCTCTGCTATTACACAGCTATTTAAAGGGAGATGTTAAGTCAAAGGTACATATTACTACATTAAAGCCTTAAGAAGTAGAGCCCTCCCTGGTGGTGCAACGGGTTAGCTGCAGCAGCTTCAGTGCGAGTTCGATTCCCGACCCCAGAGGCAGCAGACCTCTCCTGTCTCACCCGCTGCTCCCCTCAGCAGTGTACTTTATTGATCAGCCTGTTCTGCTCCCTGCTCTGTCTGTGGTGAAGCCTCTCACCACCCCTGCGTCCCTGGCCTGTAACTCAGTTCTGTATGCATAAATAAATCATTTTATTATTAAAAAAAAATAGAAAAGAAGATAGTCGAGCAAGTCTTCACAAAATGAATTTAAGAGTTGGTTTTATCAAAACTCTGTAGATGACTTTTATCCTTTTTCTAATACAAAGCTTGGAGACTAAAATTGAAGTACTTTTAAAAATACTTCCAGAACCACTGAGAAAAACCTTCATTGAAGTTTATGAGTAATTGAAATTCAAAGTTTGGGATTTTTCTTAGCCAACTTGAAAACCATGCGGACTGAGGCAGAGAAGCTAGATAGTAAGCAAATCTGCAGCCAAAGGATTCAAACTGCTTGCCAACTAGAAAATGTCACTGACAGCCACAAGAAAAAAAATCAAGTAAAAAAAAAGTATCTCCTTTCAGTTTATGATAAACACAGGGATTAAGGGGAAGAAAAAAAAACCTAGAGTTTCACTTGAAACCAAAAGCGGTCATGAACACTTTGACATTTTATCAATTATCTAAAATTTAATGTTTCCCACATTGAGTAACTTAATGAGTATCCTCACAAAAAAGATACAAATTCAAAATGGGAAAAGGTTGGATTTCTCAGCCCATTCAAATGCATGTGTATAGTGACAAGTAAATTTGCCTGCGAAGAAAATTTTCTAACAAATTCAAGATTTTACATATTATCTTTAAGGCAGCATTTTATAAAGTTTACATTCAAATGTCATTATTTGACCAGCTAAGTATCTTAAACAAAGTAGGAAAAATTTATCAAGCATTGGTGGTAGATGCAGTGTGTTAACACCCAAAAGGGGAAATCCTATACACTTCCAAAATACAAACAATGCTGTAATCCACTATCACCCAATAAAACAGAACTGGTTTAAATAAAACAGAACTGCAATAAAGAAGTTTCAATTCTGGTATAAACTTTTATTTATTCAATATAAATAGCAAAATTGACTTATTTTTTAGAAAATCAAAGTGAGCAGAGGACTTTTCAGCATCCAAAAAGATTTTTTAAAAGTTACAAAATGCAACTTGACTGGATCTTGATTCTGAAACCAGGTATAATTAATTTGGGGGAAGAACTTAGAATTTTTTTTTAAAGATTTATTTATTTGTGCATACAGAACTGGGGTACAGGCCAGAGGCTCAGGGGCGGTGAGAGGCTTCACCAGAGACAGAGTGGGGAACAGAACAGGCAGATCGAGGAAGTTCACTGCTGAGGGGAGCAGCGGGCGGGCGGGTCAGGAGAGGTGTGCCACACCATGTGGTCACCTCCGGGGCAGGCGGGAATTGAACAGAAGTGGCTTTAGATTCTCAGTGCTGTGCTTTAACCCGCTGCGCCACCAGGGAGGGCCAGAACTTAGAATTTTTAAGATGACATATGACCACTCTTGAAAGATCTTAGGTTAAAAAAGCATCAGGCTCCTAAAAATAACCCTAAATCAAGGGATAACTTAGAGAGGCTTTAAGTCTTGTATATTAAATGTAAACTACTGAATCTCACATATTTTAATTATGCAAATGAAGAAATTTTAAGAATGAGTAGGTGGTAAATCTCCATACCAATATACTCTGAATCCCAAGGGAACAAATGTGTAAACCACTTAGGACAACAAAAGTTATTGATGCATGTTCACTGTGATGAATTCCAAGTGTATTCCTTTAACTTAAGTGTGATGAAGACACTAAATCAAGCAAAATAAAATCAGAGGTAGTAATAAAAGGCTAAATAACAGCCGAAAAAACAAAGGCCCCAGGATATGTGAGAAATGTTTCTGCAAGAAGTGGTAGAAATCTCACTGGTTTCATTCCAGTGAGAAATATCTGATCTGCCTGAGACAAAAATGGAACTAAAGGCAAGAGAGCCTAGATTCAGGTAGGAATGGGTGTCAGAAAAAACAAAGGCAAGTAAGTTTTAACTCTACACCTAGACAAAGGCTTGCAAACAATGGAAAGACCTTTGTTACCACCATTGTTTCTTCTCTATTTGCAAATAACCTCAACTGTACACAGGCTTAGGAATCTCCTGAGTCACTAACACTGCAATCAGGTAGACTGCATATTACAGAGTAAGTCAGAGTTTGAGCTGATTGTGAGGAAGTCCAGAGGGCAGGACTTCCAAAAGTCAACCAGATAGGGAAATGCTATCACCCAAAGTACACTGAGGTCCTGTAAAGAATAATGCAAAATTCACAGGGAGAGCATTGGGCCTGGTTCTCTGTTGCCTCTTTGAGTGGGAAGGCATGCTTTATTCCACAGATGACTTATTTCAGTAGACAAAATGTATGTGATTTAACTTAAGTGGCCATGTACTTAAAATTAGATATTAATAAACATTTACCAACTAGACATACCATAAGAATGGGCTGTATAGACTTATAAATATAGGTTTGGGCTCTCCCTGGTGGCACAACGGGTAAAAGCACAGCACTAAGAAGCTATCCAAAGCCACTGCAGCACAGGTATGATCCCCGGCCAGGGAGATGACCCACATGGTGTGGCAGACCCCTCCTGACCAGCCCACTGCTCCCCTCTTCTACTCCCAATCTGTCTCTGGTGAAGTCTCTCACCCCCCTACCCCCTACCTCTGACCTGTATCCCAATTGTATGCATGGATAGATGAATCTTTAAAATAAGTAAATAAACAAACACAGGCTCAATGTATACAGTTTAAAGTTAAAATGATAAATTTGAGATTTGAAATTCAATTCCAAGGATTTAGGGACTGAGGACACTCCCTGAAAAAACTCAAGAAGTGAAATATGAGGAGAATCTTCTTTACTCTCTGTTATATGTCTACTTGTTTCTCTAAATCAGTGGTTCTCAACGGGGGTTGGCTTTGCCTTCTATGGTACATTTAGTAGTGTCTGGAAATATTTTGGGTTGTCACAACTGAGGAAATATTACTAACATCTAGTTAGTGGTGACCAAGGACATTACTAAACATTATACAATGAAATAAGCAGGTCCCCAGCCCCCCTCCCACAAACAAATATCCAGTCCAAAATGTCAACAGCACCTAGGCTGAAATATCCTGCTTTAATGCCCCCCACCTGTGACAAACTTAAATGACAACAACACAAAGCCAGCTCTAAATAAGAAAACTAACTTCGGATCACCATCATTGGAAAGGTAATCTACCTGTAGCATGCAGTGAGATACGACTCCCTCTGGGATCTCAGGGAAACGTTGTCGGAGGTCATGGAGAACCTGAATATCAAGCTGTGGACTGCTTTGCGCCATGCCAGAACAAATGGTGGTCAAATTTCTTTAGGGAATAGATGCTAACCAGCTTTCCAATAGTAATGATGTCCAAACACCAAAGTCATTTTCTATTAAAAGAAATTGAAACACAGTTAAATTTAATTACATTTTCACATTATTCAAAAATCATCAATATATTAAGATGGAGAGATCTAAAATGTACCTTATTCCAAAGTTAGGAAATTGACAAATTCAACCTAAAGACTTTTCTGATATAAAACAGACAATAACTGGGTTTAAAACACAACAAATTCAACACTTTAGTTCCACTTTTAATGCTTAAAAAAATAAAGGCACAACTAAATTAAAAAATCTGTTGTATTATTATTTGGCAAACATATCTATAGCTTTAAGAAAACCTACATATATGTAACCACTCATGTTTTCACAAAGGACATCATATCATTCCTCGAAAGCAATCATTTTGATGGCTGAAATAACAAAATAGAGAAACAAGTACTTGACCATAAACCACAGAGCCTCCCTGTCCTGTATGCCTTTAATATGAAGCCAAAAGTTGGAATTTGAAGTCCAATTAAATGCACATCTAAATGAAACTGGGCAAACAAAAGATGGAAAAGTAGAATCCTTTGTTTTCAAAACTGGTTGCTGACCCATCCTGAGTCAGCCCTGCATACCAAGAAGCCCCATAGAGGTAGTGCCCCTGGCACAGGGGACGAAATGGCAGGTTTTGGTGGTCAAGTTTGAGTGAGGAGACTGACTGACATCAATCTCACTGACACTAGTCAAGGTAAATGTCACTTAAATAAGACATCTTGCTAAAGTGATGATGAAATCATAAACCAATTGGCAACACTGAATCCACATTTCTTATTTTAAAGGGGAAAATATACCACACAATCCCATTATTTCTGCTGTCAATTATTAGATGGTCAAATATTTGTAAGAACGAGAAGCACACATAGGCATCTTGATATGATGCTAGAAACCATGATCATGAGATATGTCAGTACCACATACCAAGTATATTTCTTGCAGAGGCCTTGAAATTTTAAATCACACCATTACTTATGGCAATGTTGATAACTACAGAGAATATATTTTAATACAAAATACTTCAATGAAGTGTTTTTTTGAAGTTGTTTTAGTAATTTTTACATGTTTATAGAGGTAACGATTTATTGGGTTGTCAGAAAAGTCAGGCTGTATTTTCTGGACAGCCCAATACAACACTGTTTATGTTTTAGGGGTATGGGTTCACCCATTTATTTTTTTCTAAAGATTTTATTTATTTTGGCCCTCCCTGGTGGTGCAGCGGGTTAAAGCATGGCACTAAGAAGCTTAAGCCACTTCCGCATGATTTCGATCCCCGCCTGCCCCAGAGGAGATCCACATGGCCCACAGACCTCTCCTGACCCGCCCGCCGCTCCCCTCAGTGATGTACTTCGCTCCCCTCAGTGATGTACTTCGTAGATCTGCCAGTTCTGCTCCCCTCTCTGTCTCTGGTGAATCCTCTCACTGTCCTTATCTCTGGCCTGTACCCCAGTTCTATATGAATAAATAAATACATCTAAAAAGATTTTATTTATTTTTATGTATAAGAGCTGGAGTACAGGCCAGAGATGTGGGGGCGCGGGGTGAAAGGATTCACCAGAGGCAACATGGGAAGCAGATTAGGCAGGTCTACTGAAATACACAGTGGGTGACACAGGGAGGTCTGCTGTACCATGGCAGACCTAGAGCCCTACCTTAATGCCTTAGTCACCAAGGAGGCCCCCACAACTACTACCAAAGCACTAATTATCCTCTACGATCATCCACTGAGCCTCCTCTTTAACTTTCATGCCCTCCGCCCCGACTGCCACTTGTCCTTTCTGGCAGCTTCACTTCTGGTGCCAAGATTTCCAGGGATTGGTTTTGGTTTGCTTCTGTATAGAGAATATTTTAAAAATAAAAATTGGGGGCCTCCCTGGTGGTGCAGGGTAAGTCTTAGGGCTATCAAGATATTGTCAGATAACCCAAATATGGTTCAATATGGTTCAGCAGACGTCCCTGTTTTGCCTGCTGCTCCCCTCAGCAGTTTTTCAGTTGATCTGCCCATTCTACTCCCTACTGTCTCTGGTGAATCCTCTCACCCACCCACCCCACCGCACCTCTGGCCTACACCCCAGTTTTTTTATGTATAAAAAAAAAACTTTAAAAAATTTGTTTAAAGACAATACCAAATTGCTTTTGCTGGCTTATAAATGAATAGATCATATATACTATGTATTCTCACTCAAATTAGACTTTCACTATAGGCAAAGAATTTTGTTTTATGTGCAAGTGTGTTGACTTTTCTGCTCATCTAGCTCTCTTTTTTCCATGCCAAGTCTGTCAGTAAAGTACAGTTTCTACAAGGTTCTATGTATAAGACTCACCTATCCAAAGGTAAAAAGCTATTAAGGGCCACTTTAGTGACTTCCATCCATCAACAGAAAAAATGTCTAAAGAACGTGAGGGAGTTGACAAATAACTTCCCATGAGTACATATATGGACTTTCTATCGATCCTTTACTATTCTGCTCCCTGCAATTCATTCCTGAGTCTTTTCTAATCTGGTTCATATCACTGTTCCACTGAAATAATCTCTCCATCATCTCTCTGCTTCTAAATGATGAAGATACTGTCTTCTGGTCTGTACGCTTATTGACCTCTGCAGCCACTGGCACTACCAATCACTTCCTTCCTTTTCATAATGCTGCTTCTTTAGTCCACCTATCTGACATCACTCTAGCCTGGTCTCCTCCCTCCTCTCCTATGATGTTAAGATTTCCTTGGTTTTTGCCCTAACCTGCTTCATTTTCTCATTTTACATCCTTTAGCCCAGTGACCAATCTACTACAAAGGTTTCAATAATATTTAAAGATTGATGATTTCCTAACTGGTATGGTAAGCGTAATGTTCTGTCCAATACTCCAGACATACAGTGAACATAGGCTGTGTGCTGCCTATTAAACAGCACTATCTGCATATGTCCAAAGATATCAGTCGATATGTTCAAAAAGGAACCCCTCCCACAATCCTTCCCAAGTGTTCTGTGTTCTATCCATGTATGTTACCACTAACCACTCAGTTAACAAAACCAGAAACCAGGGTGTGATCCTTGCCTTTCATTCTTGCACAACTAAACAGTGGTTGAAATCAAGTGGGTCATGGTTTGCAACCCTGACTCTTCCATTTCTTACTCTCTATATGCTTAATCCTTATACTTTTGAAGCTTCATCTGTGAAATGGAAATAATAGTAGGGTTATAGTAAAATGTAAATGCAAACTAATAAATCAGGGAACATTTAGTTACTATTATTACTTAGGGCACATCTAAACATTGTTCTTGACAAGATTATCAAGCAGCTTCCTGTTGTTCCTGTCTCTGGTCTTGCCTTCCTCCACACCACAGGCAGAGTTATTTGTTTTCTAAAACACAGATCTGATCATGCATCCTCCGCTCGATCCCAACCAAATATTATGTTGTGCAGATGTTTTGTGCTGCCTCCTCTTGGGGGCATCAGCCCAGGACCATCCATCACCCTGAGACATTTTTCTACCTTCCATATCCCACCTGCTTCTCCAGGTTATACTGATCTTGTACTTGTAGGTATTGATGGGTCCTTATCTAAGGCGTCTACTGATAACTCCACCCCCGTCATCTGAATCAATTTTGTTTGTCTGACCATTTAAAAATACCTCGATACTGGGGCCCTCCCTGGTGGCGCAACATGTTAAAGCACAACATTATGAAGCTATTGCAGCCACTGCAGCACGAGTTCCATTTCCAGCCAGGGAGGTGACTCACATGGCATGGCAGACCTCTCCTGACCTGATTGCCGCTCCCCTCAGCAGTGTATTTCAGTAGATCTGCCTGCTCTGCTCCCCACTCTGTCTCTGGCGAATCCTCTCACCCCAGCAACTCTGATCTGTACCCCAGTTCTGTATGTATAAATAAGTAAATCTTAAAAAAAACCTCAACTCTGAAGTGCTAAAATAATCTACCAGATTTAATTTAAAAATTCAAATTATTTTGAAGTCCCTAGTGCTAATTCTACTTTTTCCTAAAACAGAGGTTGAATCATCTACCTTTTGCTCAAAATCTGTTACCTGCCATTTACATAGTAAGGCAATCTATAATTTGCATGAGACACAAGGAATCCCAATTAGATAGATAAGTGTGCTAAGTCACTGGCATTCTAAGGTAGCATGGTCCAACAAACATAAAAATGTGAAGATACTTTATGTATTTAATTTCTTTTACTTCTGTATCTTTTATGTATTTGTTATCTACTTGCAATATATTATTTAACCCAAAATATCAAAAATACATTTAACATGTAAACAATTAAAATCATTGATATTTTACATATTTATCCAACCTAATTCCTTAAAATCTAGTGTATCAATTGAACAACTGGAAAATCATTAACAGAGATACTGGTGAAATCTTTAAAAATCTAGATGACATAAATTATTTGTAATCTATAACTATATGGAGAATAAAAACATTGTATGAAAAAAAATCCAGTGTGTATTTTATACTTGCATACGTCTCAATTCAGGCTGGCCATATTTCACTATAACGCTCACCTGTAGTTAGCAGTGCTACCTTTCTGCACAGCACAGCTCTAAGGCTCTAGTATTTTCATTCAAATGACAGGCTCAGATCTATAGTTCTTAGATTTCTTTATTCAGTATCCTTTGTGAGGGTATCCTAAGCATATAACCTGGCACAGACTATGAATGTTAGGTGAAAATGGGAGGGGAAAGAGTAAAAATTCATTTAATGATAGGAAGGACCTTAGATAATCAGATGGCTTCTATTTATAGCTTTCCTACCAAGAAATGATTCCTCATGTTTGAGGGGAAAATCACATTTGGAACACTTGATGACTATTTAATCACCATCAATAAAGTCTCTGAAGCACTCAAAATGCTTAATTAGAGCTCTCCTAGCGGTTCCAACGAACAGTTTTTTCTCAATCTTAATTACAAGTCTTCAAAATATAAAGACAATAGAGTTGACTTTTTATGAGAAAGAAGAAAAGGTGACAAAGATTAACAAGACAAACAGGTT